TAAGAGGTGGGCAGGTCTCAGGTACCGGTGCCCTTTGGGTTTGACAATGCGGAGGTGACTTCAGCGGAGCACCTTGGAGAAGGGCTGGAGCAGAGAGCAGAGTGCAGGGCCCCGAGGAGAGGAAGGAGGGGAGTGGTGGCCCCAGGGCTGGACAGCTCTTCCCGGAGGTGTGGCTGCGAGGGGAGGAGAGAAACAGGGCAGCACCTGGAGGGGAAGATGAGGACAAAGGAGTGTGTGTGTGTGTGTGTGTGTGTAAGACGGGAAAAATTTGAAGCTGTGTCAATGCTAAAGGGAAGAAACCCGTAGAAAGAAAGAGGTTGAAAGTACAGCTGTGAATTAGGAGAGAGAGACTGTGAGCTAGAAATGTCTGTCTGAAATGATGTCAGCCAGGAAAATATATATCCCATTCGTATGAATGTGACTTTATGAAACTTACACATGTGCTTTAAATACAAAAATATCAAAGCAAAGCAAACAGTTCCCAGGGCTTTTTTGGAGACACTTCTGTTTATAATGATGGTTTATAATGATCCTAACCACAAAAGGTGCCATCTACCGAGCGCGTGTGATAGCTGGCGTGGGGCTGGTGGTGCGTGTTCAGATCATCTCACTTAATCCTCACAACAGCCCTGCCAAGCCTGGGCATCATCCTCATTTGAGACAAAACAGTCTTTAACTCAGCCTTGAACTAAGGCTCCAAGAGAAAGAATACTTTGCCCCCCAGGGCCTGCGGCCGACGAAGAGAGGAACCGGGATTCAAACCTGGGACTTCCGTGCTCCAGAGCCCAAGCTCTTTCCTCTGAAAGTAAAGACACTTAGACAAGTTTAAACCCCTAAAGAGCATCTATGTTCTCGGTCTTCAGACACCAGTAAAATTGCTAAGGCAACTGGTAGCAGTTTTGGTCACTCTTTCGACTGTTTGTTGGAAACAAACTGCAAATTAAAGAACGGAATTTAGGATTCTTGAAGTCAATGCCTGGCTTTTCACATCACCGATACAAAACCATATGTGGGTTTCTGTGCGTGTGTGTGTGTGTGTGTGTACGCACATGAGCCGAGGAGTAGCTCTAGGTTTTATGGGACCTGATGTTTATCATTTGAGGACTCATAGTTCTAGGTTCCTCCCATGGGACTATGCAGATGAAGGCCCCCGAAACTCACTAGCTTTGTGGCAGATCCACGCCTGTGCAGGCCTGTGGGCACATGAACCTCATGTATGTGCGTGAAGATACAGCAGGAACCAACAGAAGCTGTTGTCCCTTAAACAGTAGCCTTGGTTCCACTGCTTAGCACAATAGAACCATCTTTTATGGTTAGTACTGGTTATTTCTTTTCTGGGAAGACAGAGAAGATTTATCGGAAATCGAATAGGCCAAGAGGTTTTTTTTTTTTTGAACAGTGCCTTTGAATTCAAGCCAATGATCATTCATGAGCTAAGTTCGATACCCAGTGCTATGGTTCATGCTCTTGATACAGCAGGCAAATACATGTAACTTCTCTTTAAGTATCTTCTTTATTCCAGAGGTCTTTTTGTTAATTTCACTTTTGAGATGTGATCTAGTGCGCATGTGAAGGTTTTCAGAATGTAGCAATAGAACAGACTGGGTGTCGGAGGCGTTGGGGGACAGTGGAGACGGGAGAGGATGGGAGGGCATCTTTATTTATTTAGGAATCTGCTGTGGACGGGACACACGCTCTGTGCTGCCCCAAAAGCTAAAACCAGGAACCAAGTTACACAAGATTGCAGAGGCAGCCAGACTCCAACTCCACAGAAGAACTTTCTGCCCACTAGAGCTGTCCAACAACGGTTTGCTTATCTTGTGGCCGGCTGCCCACCACAGTAGGACTCAGCCGAAGCTACTTCTTGGCAGGGGAAGGGGAGGCAGGGGGCTTTTACTGAACACAAGTTGGAGTCCATCTAAGAAACCTATAGAATCCTCTCTAAGATTCCCAGGCACACACTGTGACTGCCAATCACACACACCACACACACACACACACCCACCACCACACCCCACCCCACCACACACACACCCCACACACACACACACACCATGCACAGTGGGTTGGTTTCCCCCCACCCCGAGTAGTGATGTGTTTGTGCTCAGCCAGCCTCGTTCCCCAGCTGAGCTCCTGGTTGCTGAGGAAACACGTTTGTGAATGGACTGATGCAGCCGTGACCATGCTCTTAGAATTAAGTCTAAGCATTACAGTCATAGAATTCAAGCTTTCTCCTGGCCTGGGACCTGGGGCCTGGGCTCCCAGTCATGAACCAGCTGTCACACGTGGCACTTATGACCGTGATCTTCCCAGTTCAGGTCAGGAGCTGGCAAAGCTCTGCCGGGCTCCCTTGGCCAGCTCTGGGATGAGAGGCTAAGCAGAGGCAGCACAGAGGCCAAGGAACGTATGGGACAGAGTCCATGTCAGCCCCATGGAGGGCTCAGCCCACCAGGCCAGGGTGTGGCTTCCAGAGAGGCCAAGACGGGTGCATGGCCTCAGTTAACCTTTGCCCTTTGTGAAGCGGAACATTGACCATGACCCAGACACTGCCTTGTTCTCCTTCTGAGACCTCCTTGGGGTCTACGGGTCTGTCCTAAATCACGTTAATGATCATAATAGTGGTGACAGCGGTGGTCACAGCACAGCTGGTGTCTGCTGAGTTCTCGCCGTTTGCCCGCCGCTGTGATGCGCTCGTTACGTGATGACCTCATCGGGTCCTTGCCGTCATCCTGGGAGGTGGATGCCACTGACATTGCCGTTTTACAGGACAAGGAACTGAGGCCTAGAGAAGTTAAAGGGCATTCGTTTGTTACCTCACTTTGTCCCGCTCTCCGGCCACCACACCCAGATCTCCTCCAGCTGCGAGGGTGACCTCCAGGGAGGGGCCAGGTGTGACATATGCCCAGACCCTGCTTCTCGACATCCCCTCATTCAGTGCCCACGGCAAACCTCTGCAGGAGATGCTGGCATTTTGCAGAGATGTTCAGGGCCTTGCTCAAGGTCGCCAGGTGTGGAGGAGCCAGCCCTCCAGCCCAGCAGCCCATGCCTTCCCCGCACCCGGCCTGCCTCAAAATCAACAGTCCAGCATCCTCACAGCCACTAAATCTATACTTTCTGGCCTCCCTTTCCAAAACGCACGCACTAATTACCGACTCTTTTTGTTAGTAATCATCAGGGACACCTTTTTTCAGTGTTTTCGTTTTCTCTTCGGCTACTACCTAAATAAGTTGTTCAAATTTTGTTCAACCTCACAGGGTGGAACCCAGCGTCGTGAGGCCGTGTAAATTCGGAAAAGTTCAGGAAGACGTTACACTAAACCAAAAGAAACAAAGCTTTGATTAGGGACTTATTTTTGTAAGCGATCAAAATATGAATCATTAAAATAGGACTGTATTTCAGGCTCCATATCCTCATCAGAGACAGCGTCACCATGACTACTGGGTTTGAATTAGCTGAGCTCCGAGGCCGTCCTGGCTCCGGAACGCAGCCGCGAGGCACGGCTGCGCCTCACGCAGGACGTGCTGAAGTCTGGTTCGGGACTCCCCTGCGGCTTCTCGCCGTTTCACTAGGAGATTCCTCAGCGACATGGGGTCTTCGGCTTTATTTGATCCCCATAGTAAATAGTGGCAGTAATTATATTAATAACACCCAAAATTCAAAGGTCCAAAGGAACCAAAATCACAGCGAAGACACCAGGTACCTCAGGAGTGGGTTGGACAGGGTATCATGGAACTTTATTTGGTACAAATGGAGAGAGCGCAAGAGGTTTGCAGAGAGAAAGGAATTACTGTGGAGTGTTTCTCAGGTTCAGGCTGAACTGAGAAGAAAAAAATATATACAGCAGTAGCCCAAAATAACGCAGTTAAATTAAGTTGTTAATTAAAGTATCTGTTAAAAGTGGCTAAAATTAGAGACAAAAGCCCATTGTTTGGTACAGTTGTTGATGGCATATCTGTATGTGGAAGGGCGTGGGGGGACAGGCAGAAAAGCCTGTGGCATTTTAAAGATTAATCACCCACCCCAAAGGGGTTTGGAGGCGCCCACCTGCATTTTTGAACTTGGAGCTAAGTCAAAGGGGAGGGAGAAGACCACAACAGGTTTTTTGGCTAATTAACTACTCAGCGGACACTTCAGATACCAAATACACCAGAACAGAAGGCCCCCAGTTCAGACCAACCCTTACCATCCTCTGTGAGGAGCTGACGTCTAAAGACGATTTTCTAGAGATCGTGGGACCTTGGAGCATTGCCTGTGTGTATTTTTAGTGGGAAGCATCCCAGAATATTGCCAGTTCCTTATAGGGTATCCTCAGTAGTGAGTCCCTCGGACCCGCGAATACTTCTCATATTTATTCTTTTCCTGCCTGGGATTAATGTGGATTAGAAAGGCACGTTGTTCTCTGTTGAGATTTCTGTGAAGATTCCATGAGTTGTCATTGAAACAGTAAAACTTTTCATCCTTCTTGACTTTATAATTCTTCTTTGAATAATCTGAAATGCAAACAAAGGATGTTTTTTATAAAAATAGTAGCAATAAATTGGGACAGTTGCAGTTTCCAATAAAGTCTGGTTCATCCCAGTGACGGGCTGTTATAATGCAGCTAGTAAAACAGTTACATCGTATGGAGGGAAAAGGAGAGATAATAAACCATGATGATCCTGGTTCTGACTGTGTAACTCTGCAGTACTGTAGAGAGTATTAACAGGGCTTGTGTCTCTAAGGGATAGGATTATAGGTGATTTTTGTTTTCTTTGTGGCTTCCTGCATTTTTTTATACTTTTTTTCGTATATGACTTTCATAATCAAAAAAGTTCAAAAGAAAAAGCCGCATGGCTCTGACCTTCTCAGTGCCACCTGCTGTCCCCTGTAAGATCACGTGGGCAGGGGGCAGACATGTCTTCCTCACCATTGTGCCCCGTGCCCAGCACAGTGTCAAAGCTCAGATGGTTGTTGAACAAGCTGTTCCCCTTTCTTGATTCCTCTTTCCTTTTTCTTTCCAGGTGATGTGCTCTATGAACTCCTTCAGCATATTCTGAAGCAGAGGAAACCTCGGATTCTTTTCTCACCGTTCTTCCACCCCGGAAACTCGATACACACGCAGCCGGAAGTCATCCTGCACCAGAACCACGAAGAAGGTAAGAAGGTACCGAGGAGGCTTCTCTCTCATTGCCTGAGTCATAGACAAATCCCAGAGGTTCAGCTGTTCCTTTGATAAGTTGTTCTTATTCATGTGATTCATTTTTCAGTCAACAAACGTTTGTTGAGGGCTGACTGTGTTTGAGACCCTGGGGGAAATGCCAAGATGAGTCAGATCTGTTCTTGGTTCTCTGCAACTCACAACCTAGGGGAAGGAAAGGGTTAGCTATTCACGTAAGTATCAAAGAGTAAAGGCACCGTAAAGAGACGGTGGAAGTGGGGTTATATCCAGGTACAGCTTCATGAAGGAGGTGGCTCTGGAGGGTTTCTTGAAGATCCAGTTCCTTGAAAGATTTTGATAAGCTGGGATGAAGTGGAGAACATTCCAGGATGGAGTAAGTCCTTGGAACAGAGAGCTGTCAGCTGACTTGGGTTGTAGAGATTATCTTATGATAATTTGATTATGAAAAATTTCAAACAAACCCCAAATAGAGAGAATTAACTAAAAAAAAAACCCTGTGTGCCATCACCCTACTGCAACAGTGATCGAGATTTTGCTGTTGCAGAACGGGTCCAAGGAGGTAAGATTAGAACCAAAATGGGGAGGATTCTGATATCTGGGCTATGGAGGAAAGTAACAGGGAGTCATTGAAGGTTTTTGAGCAGGGAGGTAACATAAGCTGGAGGGAGAAAAGAGACCCCAACCCTGTGAACTCTGCAGTGGACCAGAAGTCTCCTCTTCACGCCCCAAAGGTGGTGACCTGCAGTGGACTCACTATGAGTGCTTAGTTCAGGTGTGCCAGGTGCTGCTCTTTTCCTGTGAGTTACGGTGCTCAGCATCAAACCTGGTAGAAAACAGAACAAAAGACCAGAATGGAATGGTGGCCCTGGACAGAGTTCCACAGCAGGTGTTTGGGTACAGAAATAGGGCATAAAAATCTTCTTTTACTCCCTATTCTGCAGAACAGTGATGCGTCGTGCCTCTGAGGGGCATTTGGACCACATCTTCTTGCCCGGAGTAGGGACCCGAAGTAATTCTTTTAAACTTGTACTTTTTTCTGAGGACCAGATTACAAGAGGTCTTAAAACCTGGGTTTTTTAGGGACATTTCCATAAATTGATTGATCATCCCGCAGAGCAGGACTCTTTTTTGTTTTGCCGTCAGCAAATTAAAAAGGGAGAAGTTATTTGTTTTCTTAATTAACACTTCACAAAACAGAGCGTGACTCCGGGCCACCCGACCTAGGGTTCCGTGTGCCAAGTGTTTCTCAGCAGGCCCCCTCGCTTCCATGATGGAGAAGAAGTGAGCGTCCCTTGCAGGCTCCCCGCCTGCTCCTCTGTCCTGTCTTCCTCTAGCTTTACCCTTTCTAAACTTAGCAGCCGCCTCCCTCCCCCAGTTCCATTCTCCGTTCTTTTACTCTTTCTGGCCTGTGCACTTCCAGCTTGCGTAACAGCCACCAGCTACCCCCGAGGAGAGGAGTGGGTTTACTGAAGCTGGACGGGAAGGCAGGAATCAGATTACCCAGCCTGAAGATGTTTAGGTGCAAAAGGTGTGTGATGGGTTGGGTTTTCTCTCTCTCAGGTCTCTCTCTCTCTCTTCATTGTTAAAAACAATCCCATTTGGAATTCTATTCCCCGTTTGATTCTCTGGTGTGATTGGAGGCTTATGGTCAGGACAAGCCCTTCCTGCGCTCCCCTCGGCCTGATCTGACTCCTGAGCAGGTGTGTCTGTTGTGCTTCTCACTGGCAGGAGCTGGTCAGTAGAGAACGCTGGCTCCTCTCTGAGCTCCTCGCCAACTGAGTAAATAACGACATGCCACCGCCAGCGCCCTAATGAGCCGTGCTCTCCAGTGCTCTGTCATTGGCAGTGGTGAGATCAGGAGGTAAAAGGACGGAGCCAACTGAGCGCAAGGTCAAGGGCTGCATTGCCCTGTGGACCAGTTAGCTCTGCTTCAGACCTTCTCTTTCTTTTTCTTTTTTTCAATTGAAGTACCATCAGTTATAATGTGTCCCTTTCTGGTGTACAGCACAGTGTCCCAGTCATGCATATACATACACATCAGACCTGCTCTTAAAAGTAGTGTGTTCTCAGAGACCATTCTGTGAAGTGGTCAGCCAGGAAACGTGATTCCGCTACGTGCCCAGCTCCGCTGCTCCTCCACCTGCTCTCACATGAGCAGGTGGACACAGAAAGGAAGCATGGGTCTTTGTCAGGTGGTATCAGGTGAGAAGAGCTGTACCAGGCCAGGAGGTGATAGGAAGGGGCTGGCGGCCCCCAGACCTCCAGATATATGGGTGCCGTTGGTGACCGAGGGACCAACGAGAGAGATGAATGGATCAGGACAAGTTCCCCACCTTCGGCCACCTCCCACCTCTTTCCCGTCTTCTCCATCAAAAAGAAAAGACCCAGCTCCACATAAATTGTCTCTGGAATCGATCCTGTTATATCGTGAATGGTAACACATTCATACAGGCATATGTTAACGTACAGGAAGATCTGACCCGGGAAGGAGGCGGGGAGAACAGTTTGTAAATGGAAATTATAAGCATCCAATACTACATCCCCAGTGGTCTATTTTACGTAACTGGGGATACAGTATGAAAAGTATGTTGCTGCTGACTTGGCACAGAGACCAGTATCCCAGAGTGGAAGGAGAACGCTCCAGAGGACCCACTCAGCCCCTCAGCAGGCTGGCACGGGGAGGCGAGTGCACACAAAGCTGCATTCAGCCACCCTGTGACCTCACCTCGTCACTGCCACTGACTTAACCAGTTCAGACATTCATAATTTCACAATGGGATTCATATCACAGTACAAACATACCTTGTTTAATCTAGCAGCCGCTCCCCGCAGATATCCCGTGTGAGTACGCTACACTGAAATCTCGCCTTTCAGACTAGCAGCCACGTGGCAGTGCCAGAGGCTAGGAGGTTGGTGTTAGGTCAGAGGCCCCCTTCTGGGAAGTATGACCCTTTATTATACTAATTCGAACCCTTTATTTTGTAAACATTCATTATCTCTACGATGCACACTGTTCTGAAGTTGAGTCATGCCTTGAGCAAAGTGATACTCAGATTCCCACCTCGGTCCTGGGGAATCAGCATTTCCACTCTTTCCCCTTACCTAGTTATGGGAAGGGGAGGCAATATTATATAATTACAATAACCTTGTACTTTTTCATCCATACCAAGACACTTATGACAGTGAGATCAGTAAATGAATTAGGACGATAGACATAAACCAGGACTGTCCATGACAAACTGGGACACCTGGTCAGCTTAGATCAATTTTTTTAAAGACTGAGCTCGAGACGTCAGGAAACCAGGTTCTGTCCTTCCCTTCTGCCAGAAGAGTCATAAGGGCTCAGTTTCTCTTTTTTCTGGCCCTTAGACTCCCAAGTTATAAGACAAGATTCGACCAAATGGTCTCAGATCTTAGCACTCTCAAATCCTAACATTCTGTCCAAAAGCTGAGTCTCCCTGGGTGATACGAAGATGAATAAGACACATTCTCTACTTTTAGGGTTGTGGGCAGCTAAAATCCAGAAAAGCGTAACATAGTGTCCTGTCTGATGATGCTCAGAAAATCTCTTCTCATTTATCTCCTCTTGTCAGGAACTGTTGATGACGTTACCCCTCTTAGTAGTCAAACCTAGAGTCATTCATTCACTTGTTTCACAATGAAGACCTCACTTTAAAGTAGATTCTTCTTCTTGGATTGTGGGGGACCCATTTTATCTGCATGATATGCATTAGTTAGATAGCAGGTAGGTAGCTGGGGAGGAAGGAGACCGCTGGCTTTCACCAAAACCAGGAGACAAAAGAGCTTGAGAAGTTTCAGACCAGCCAATGGTTATAAAATGAACTCATTTGAAAAAAAAAAATGAACTGATTTGATCACACACAGTTGCGATATCAACGTCTTTTGATTCCAAAATCAGTTACTTTTGGCTCCCATGGGACAATGAAAAGAGAAGCTTTTGTCCCAAAGGATATATTCGATTGCCACTGGCCCTTTGGTGTTAGAACTACTTGAATAGTGATTCCTTAAAATGTGTTTCCAGTCCGGGCTGGTCTCTGACTGGGATCAATCACCCCTGCCAGACTGGACCCGCACACATCTCTAGGCAAGAGAGTCGAGATCTGTATTTCTCAAATGTTCTCATCTCACGACCTCTTGGGGGGACCCTCCCCTAGCTTCAGCTCTCCAGTGCCACCCTCTCCCGTGCCCCATCCGAGAGACTGGGAGGTGATCTTTAATCACTTGAATTTGAAGGCCTTCAGCCCTGCTCTGCTGTGACTGTTTCTACCACAGTGGACACAGTTCCCAGTGAAAGTTCTGTTCTGGGGCAGCTCTTCGTCACTGGGTGGACATGGACGTTGGAAGTAATGATGAGAGATTTCAAGTGTCGAAATACTGCTGTTCTCAGTTCTCCTTACAACTAGCCCAAGGTCACGGCCCAGGTAGCAGAGAGAAATCATTTCTTCGTGGAGGGTGGGGAGGGTGGCCTGTATTCTGGGATGGCCCACAAAAGTTTCATTTATATGATTGCTTTTTTGAGGGAAATATCCACCCCCTCCCATGCCCCCCCCGCCCACCAAATTCAAGCGCCCGAAGACTGCTTTGGAGGAAGGAAATCGTATACAATTTTAATGAGATAATTAATGGAAATGAGGTGTATGAATCCTCCCCCTAATAACAAAATAATAGCTAGCATTTTTGGGTCCTCGCTGGGTGCCAGGCCCTGTTCTAAGCTTTTGCATGTTTACATCATTTAATCTTCACAACCACCCTATAAACCAGGTAATATTATTTCCGCTTTGTAGATGAGGGAATGGAGGCTTTTGGTGGCAAAGTAGCACGCCTCCAAATCACACCGCTACGAAAGAGCAAGGCTCAGACTGAACCCCAGGTCTGCTTGGCTCCATTGCCTGTGTCCACTCCACTGCACCATGAACGAGCCGGATGAAATAAGGTTTTTAATTCTCTGTGTGTGCA